AGTTAATCTTTTTCTCGACGTAAGCTTTATAGAATTTATAACGGTAGTTTGGGACCGATGCGATGACAGAACTGCATGAAGTTTTGCGAATGACCATACCGAATGTCCAGAGAGGTGCTATCATTATGGTCTACCACCATATGAACCGTTAGCTCTTTCGTCAACATCCTACAAAAAACAAAAGAGAAAAAGCGGCGGCGATCATCTACCATCGGAAACATGAACCATTTACTAGTTTGTCAACATCCTAGGTTTTTACTTTTGAATTGTCAATTCAATCGATATAACACTAACATCGAATAAAATAAAGAAGAAAGTTCTCGAGAATTTTGGACTTTGTGCGAATTGCTGGCTCTCGTATAATCAAATATTTGTTCGATATACACACTAACATAATGCACCTTATATAATGTCATCGGTACACCTGTCAACACTCTGGATAGGTATAGCTTCATTTAATTATTTAAAACATCACATTATTAATATAACTTTATGAGTCTGCCAATCTGCAGTGGAGTCGCGTGGTGGACTAAGCCCGATATGCCTTTGCCCAGCTGTGTGACATTTATAGGCTGTTACTTTACTTTTTTACATTATTAACATGTTATACAATTTAACACATCTCTCTCTCTCTCTCTCTCTACTAAAACAACTCAAATTGAACGAATAATTTATGAAAGAAACACTATTAAACATTTTATGGAACATTATGTTCAAACCTTATTTCTTTGGGTTTAAATTCTGTTTTCTCCACAAAATATTTCAATGACCGACCGTGACTAATAAGTTACTCTAAACAATTTTATTCGTTTTTGGCGTGAAGGTTGTTCTAAGTTTGAATTTTTAACCATACTTATGAAGATCTTAAAGAGTTTTGAGACTATTTTGTTCATTTCTGTTTTGAATGAATGCTGTCTTAGAAGGTTCATTTATCGATAAGATAATTTATTATAAAAGGAATCCTAACAACCTCAACCCGTTAAGAGGCTCTAATGCCACTTCTCCGATGGAGTAATTTTCTTGGCTTCATTCAATCAAGACGCTCTGAAATGTTCCATTACGCCAATCTGCTCTCCTTTTCTGCCTACATTATATTTATTGTTTAATGTTTTTTTTTCTTTTACGAATTCTTATTATAATAAAATAGTAAGACGTACAAATTTAAAAAACGAAACAAATAGATAACAAAAAAAGAAACATTTTGTAGTAGACTGAATTGTGAATCTGAACCATTCTCGAGTCCAATTTAACACGCATAAAAATTTCAGATTTATTGACATTGTTATGTTATACCAATAAAGTAACAAGTGGTCGATAACTTTCTTTACCTGGAATCTACTTCGGTGAATCTGTCATTTTTTTGAATCTCTACTCTGTACGATCGTCTGATTACAGTCTATAGTTAAATCCATTAAATGTATGAAATAAATTTTATTTCATGTATAATTTCCACTAAATTTATCTTAAAAAAAATAATTATGTAATAATGATCCAAAACAGTTATTAATTTTAAAGAGAGCCTTATTGGTATTTCTTAAGAAAGAAATACATGTTTAAAAGAAATACATATTAGGTATTTCTTTTACCACATTTTTTGATTCAATTTTTAAGTTTATCGGGGAGCTGTCTAATAACAAGTATAATTTTTAACAAAAAGACACCGACTTCAATCAGAAAATTAAAAACATTGTTAATACCTATAACATTCAATGATGGCCCTCGATTTCTCTGGGATGCCATTATCAGATCCGGGTTTCCTTATCATGGTACCACCCTTGGGATATCTCCTTTCCGACCAAAAAGAATCATCAAAATCGGTTCATAAACGAAGTTATCCACAAACACACATAAAAAAATATATACGGTCGAATTGAGAAACCTCCTCCTTTTTTGAAGTCGGTTTAAAATGAAATGACTCCGTGGCGCAGTAGCTAGGGTATTGGCTGCAGCGTCGGGGGTCGTGGGTTCGGTTCCCACACGGGACAACTATTTGTTTGACCCACAGATAGTTGTTTCGCATCTGGGTGTTTGTCCGCGTGAAAGTTATGTTTGTATAACGTCCTTACAACACAGGATAATGTTATGCTAAAGTAACGGCAATATTTTTTAAAAAACAAAAAAATGTTTCTATTGTGACGGACTATTGTATTTGACAATGACAATATGAAAGTAAAAATGTAATATTTAAATTTATTTTGTGATTTTGTAAAACAATATGAATTAATTTTCTGAGCGTCTCTTGCATGTAAACTTAATATATCTAACTCCATTTTCTCATCTGTAACTCACATTCACCATGCGGATATATGCAAAATTTTATTCTTAAATATTTTCCTGTTACATATAAAGTAAGTGGCAAAAAGACAATATATTGTTTACGTGACCAAAGAGCAGATTGTGTGCGGTTGTACCAATTTAACAAGTTCAAATTAACAGAAACTTTTATTGCGCAAACTTGGTGATAACACATCTATTATTTGCTTTACACGTAGATTACGACTCGATCGGAATAGGTTATCGCTTTTACGTTGGATTTTATTGACAAAAAGAAATATTCTTTTTAAAATTCGTTTGAAATGTTACAATTTTTCATGTGGAATGTGTATAATATTATTTAAAATTCAAAATAGGTGACGAGTGATAATCGTGAATTTTGTTCATTTAGGAGTTTTAAACGCACAAAATAGTTGACGAGTGAGTACACACGACTTTTTAAATTATAAAACCCTTATTTATTCTATCAAAGTAGCTGAAAGTTTATCTCGGCAGTCTTTTGAACGCGTTAGGAACACGCACACACGGGAATCATTTTTTTCGTCATCACAGGCACAAAGCAGATAACGCCCGGTTTCTGAAGTACTGATCATCGTAGAAATTAACTAATAAGCTAACAGATCAGAATGATCAATTCATAGAGTTTAACCATCCGCTTGGCAACTCAAATGACATTTGAGAAGCCATTTGACAGCTGATTAGTTAATTTTTACAATGATCAGTGTTTCATTCATTCAGAAACCGGGCGTCGGACTCGTAACAATAAACGTCAAAATTTTTATTTCCACACCAGTGCACGATTAGAATATATCTTGCGTGCCTACATTTTGTCGACGTAAAACTGTTAAAGTTTTTCTCTGGTGGAGCCACAGAGTAGCCTCCGCTGTTGCATGAATAGGCAGGGACTTCCGTGAGAGTACCACGGCATCACAGGACACCTGCGTGAAGTGGAAATAATTACACTTCCGCGTTTCGTCTGGTGATTGAGGTGACCGGGGCCTACTCTTAAATAAGTTGGCAACGCTCCTGCAGCCCACCAGGTGACATCAGGTTAGCCGCCCGCTCGCTTGCCAAAAGCGTTCGGGGCGACGGGAAAAAAATGTCTTGAATTCGATAAATATCATATCGGTAAGCTCATAGAGCCGCGATCCCTCAGCTTTGATGGCACCGTGGCGTAGTTGCCAAGGTTCGAGGCTTCGGCGTCGGGGGTCGTGGGATCGATCTCCACACAGGACAACTATTTGACCGATAGTTGACATCATTGATAGTTGTTTCGAATCTGGGTGTTTGCCCGCGTGAAATTTACGATTGTGAAACGTCCTTACAACGCAGGATAATGGAAAGGCACAAAATATAAAAAAAGAGAAAAAAAAAAGTTGCTAGCTTCGTGCCGGCACCGATGAAATTGCGAATTTTAATTGCTTACTTATAACATTTTCAGCGGCGAAATTGACTTCTTTAAGAATTAATAATGGAGGAACCTGCATACTTTCGACATAAAAAAAAATATTTTCGAAGATATGCGAGTTCCGCCATTCCACAGTGGTGTCGCGTATTGTAATATGCCCTTTTTTTTATCGGGGGGGAAATCTTCCAAAGATACCCTGTCACATTACATGACAGGGTTATGTGAGGTTCTTACCCAAACCCCCTCGGTGGCCACCCTCTGTACGTTTAGAGGGACTCCGGGATCTCCCACGGAACGCACCGGTGTCCCTCAGTACTGCGCGTGAGCACTCCCCGGAGAAGGATAGCTTCCCCGGTTCCCTCACCATCTTGCAGCAGCTCGAGACCACTTCGAGCTGCTGCCAATCCGTGTCCCCTTTTAGTCGCCTTTTACGACAGGCAGGGAATACCTTAGCCCTATTCTATAAGCCCGTGACTACAGGGCTGACGGGGCGGCATGTCCGTTTATGCCGCCTTGGCGCCTTCGTCTTCGAGCGGGATCAGCCCTCTCCCGTTCTCGTTCAGCGATCTCCTTCTGGAGCATAACAGCTTCGCAGAAGGAGACTAGTGCCGTCCAAGTAGATTTCTCCACCAGTGCAGCTGACACTGCCACTTGTGGAGAAAGGTCTTGCCCGATCTTTTGGACCAGGAACCGACGCTCTGACTCCCACGCGGGGCACTCATCAAGTGTGAGCTGCGCGGAGTCCCGGTCCCCACCACAATGGTGGCATTGCGTTGTCGGTTCGCGTCCGATTCTATTTAAGTACTCACCAAAGCATCCGTGCCCGGTGAGTACCTGTGCCAACCGAAAGGTGACGTGCGCAAATCCCCTCGCGCTTAGCCAGGCTTCGAAGCTCGGCAAGAACGTGGTGACGATTCGCTGGCGCGAGCTTCGCGGTTCGCCCAAGCGCTCGCGCTAAACCTCTAGCGCCCTTATACGCTCCTGCTCACGCACTTCACCCGCATCCAGGGGCTCGGCATCATCCTGGGGTAGTCGGAGCCGAGTATAAACTCGCGCATCCATCTCCGCCAGGATGTCCAATGGTGGAAACCGAGCGAGGATAGTGGCCGCCTCAAAGGATATCGTTCCGTACCCTCGTGCGATCCTGATAGCTATTTTTCGCTGCAGGCTGTAAAGTTTAGCTCTGCAGCGTCGGACGCCCGTTAGATTGTAATATGCCCTAATACCCTCTGTACATAGGGGACATTTGCAGTGGTGGGACGTATAAATATAGGCTGGTACTGTACTTTATTGTTTATTTAAAAATTCCTCTCCACAGGTTGGGATGCGTCGGAGGGCGAGAAACTACCGTTCCTACGAAACGAGCCGGTGAAGTTGACGCCCGCTTGGGAGGGCTCCAACCTGCCAAATGACACGCTCAATTTGAAAGGTAAGGCGTTAGGAGGCGAGGAAATACTGTTGGGAAGGTCGATGACCTACGTTTTTGACAGTTCTGACTAAGATACCCTAAGGTGGAAGAAATTGCTACCTTAGCAATAAGGCCGCCTGTATATACACTGTTTCAGGTATCTTCTTTGTATTTCCTTGTGTGGAATCAAGTATATTCAATCAATCAATAATTCCCCGATCCGTAATAGTAGTCACTTCAATAAGTCTTTTTTCAATGTGGCCACATTGAAAAAAGCCACAAAAAACGTCAATCCAGAACTTATTTCGGCACAGCTTTGAACCAGGTGAATAACAGTAGCCTAAACTGAATTGAAATCAACTTTTAGGACTCCGAAATAAACATTTTAATTGTAATCTTGTGAACATAAGAGGGAATTTATTATATGCCGGCAGGAATCAGATTTCTCACTTCCAGATAAATGTTTCTATAAAGAATGTCATAAAGTAATTTAAATATGCCTTTGTGTAATGTGTTCTATTGTACAATAGTAGCATTAGTCTTAGAATACAGTAAAATTGAAGACAGCCATGCATTTCGCTCTAAGAAAACATAAGAGGATTATTTTGATGGATATTGAGAATTCTTGAATCTTTCTTTCTTGAAAAAAATCTTTTATCTGCCGTAATCAGAGAACCAATATGCAAACAATACATGATAATCTAATTTTATAATGCCAATTAGACACAAATTTACAATAGAGTTATCGATTTATGTGTTACATTTTAATTGCCCTAAATTACAACGTGCCTCATTGTTGGTTATTCACGGATTTAATTAATTTCTGTCAGTATATAAAAGTGCCGGTCGCATAGTTATTTTCTACAAGTCATAAACACTCCACCATGGGAGAGACGGTCGCTGTGTATAAATTAGTTTTGTTGAACTGGAGGCGATTCTGGAGCGGAATGTATCTCGTTAAAAAAGGTTAATTAAAAGAAAATGTAACGTGTGCCAATTTTGAATTTGACAAACAGTGTAAACTCCTCTTAGGTTTCGAGCGCGAGTGAAGTGTATTCATTTAAACAGATTATATTCATTTATTAAGTACATTTGTACGTCTGCGTGACCCCACTACATTGTTACTAATACGTAAAAGAATCTACCTAATAAATGATTGTTGCTACTGTAATAGAAAACTACACGTTTAAAGAAATACCAAAGATGTAATGAAGACTGTCGCGATTTGGGAGTATTATATTTTTGAATCTTGTCTGGTGAGTAAGGTAACTGGGGGGGGGGGGGGGGGCCCTACCCTTTTGAAGGTTGGCAAGGTATCTACTATTCCATAGTTGTTGTTTTTATCCATGGGTCGCGGTAATCACTTGTCAGGTAAACCACTTGTTAGGTCTTCTTATTAAAAAGTAACTTTTTTTGTGTGTGAAGGTGGCAAGCGAGTAAGCGGTTTACCTGATGTTGAGTTATAACCGCCATGGACATTAGCAACACCAGTAGGTTTGCAAATGCGTTGCCATCTCTTAATAAAGTCGGCCCCGGCTACTTCATTCACCAGTCGAAATGCAGAAGTATGAAACTTGCAATTCACGCCGGTCTTCTGTGATGCCGTGGTACTTTCTCGGACGTCCCTGCCCATTCTGTTGCGTTTCCCAACCGCAGTAAATATAAAACGGACAAAGGTTGGAATGAGCTGGCAAATTTACATTATACATTTACGATTCCCACACGGGACAACTATTTGTGCGACCCACAGATAGTTGTTTCGCATCTGGGCGTTTGTCCACGTGAAATTTATGTTTGTAAAAAAGAGAGGGAAATGTTTTTAAAAAAAAATGATGGCAAGGCAATTGTCCATAGGCTCGTTTACCACTTTGTCAGGTGTAAACAAAACGCCTCCCGACGTAAAGGTTAGATCACGTCTCAATTCCTTTCCAGGCATCGCTATGGATCTGGCGCCGCCGAAGGACAAGTGGAACCTGATCTACCTGACGCTGGTGCTCCACGGGCTGGGCACCCTGACCGCGTGGAACATGTTCATCACCGCTAAGGACTACTTCGTGGTTTACAAACTGGCGAGCGCGCCGCACCTAGCCAAGCGCTTCCTGCCCTACGTCGGCTGGGCCTGCCAGATACCCAATCTTCTGTTCAGCTGGTTCAACGTCTTCGTGAAGATCGGGTTTGTGTTTACGACACGTATTTATTAATTGCTTACATGTGTATGTTGAATGAATGTGTTTATCAGTCGTATTTGACTCGGTGGTGCTGAGCTATAATATAGGCTTCGGCGCTGGGGTCGTGGGTTCGATTCCCACACAGATAATTGTTCCGGATCTGCGTGTTTCTTCCGTAGGAGGGTTGACGTCAGGCAGGTGGCCAGTAGTAAAAGCATAGCAAAAAATGATCCACTTTCAGACGTCAGCTGGGAATTTTACACGCGCATTAAGCATTCACTTACTTTTTATTTATTTAATGTATTTGTTTTTTCTTAATCTTTCGCCCGTGGGTTTGTTTACTTAAATGCTCAAGTCATTTTAAATAATTACATACATTCATTAAATTCCCGTTCAAGATATCGAGAAAAATGAGAACATAATAAGAAAATGTTACAATTCTTGTTTTCAAACCTATATTAGTTTCATTGAAATCTATCGGACTCGTAACGGGCCTAAAAACATAGCCAAAATCGAAACTTACAGACAGACATATATTCGAAAATTGGTTTATCACGATTAATTGTCATGAAAGAGCACAATATCTTGGTCTAAGTTAGGCCGAGGCACTTCGCTCCGTATTACTTTATATTAGGTTAGCTCGATATAATTAAAATGACTAAGTTAAAGATCACACAAAGCCCACAGTCCAACGCAGTGATCTATCAGCTCTTGATCTGTCACACTTAACTGTGGGTAAATGATTTTTGCTCTACTAAAACACTCGTAGGTTTTATCGATAAACCTGCGGGCACCTAAGTTTTGCTACATCACTATTATTGTACAAACATTGAGTTTTTTGTTTTTAATAAAAAAGAGTAAATTTTATTTTTTAAGTCGAAACTATTCATTTTTTAATAAAATAATTTCAATATAACGAAGACGGGAAGCACCAGCTCTCAAATAAAAAAAGAATCATCAAAATCGTTTCACTCAGTCTAAAGTTCTGAGGTAACAAATATAAAAAAAATACAGTCGAATACTTCGCCATAATGTTAATTGAGCATTCCATAATACAAAAAAATATTTACATTTTAATTTGACATGAAATAACCAGAAAAATATCAATTCAAACACTGTTTATTTATCCCGTTAAAAGTGGTCACCCTAATGATGAGCGGTTTAGTAAATGCGTCCAGCGAGAAGTTTTAGTGCTCGTGAGTAGGTTATTGTATCGAGACTGTAAGGCAGGAATTTCTTAAGGTGTCCATAATGTTTGAAAAAATTAAAAATAATCTTTGAACAAAGAAATGAGATCACAAGTACGTACCATACTCAGATTTAGAAGCAAATTCTGCATATGCGTAGTGGCTAGTGTAGCTGCCTCCTGCGCCAGAGGGTGTGGGTTCGATCCCCACTACTGGAAAAATATTGTGTGATAAATATAGTGTTTTTCTAGTGTCTGGGTGTTTATATATGTATAATATGTATTTATTTACAAAAGAAAAGTATGTTTATCAGTTATCTAGTACCCATAGTATAAGCATTGCTTAGTTTGGGGACTAGAGAACGTTGTGTAAAATGTGTCCTAAAATATTTATTATTATATTTATTATTGTCTATAAAATCACCCTGTATTATGTTTTGCAAATACGTTTGATATACATTAATATTTTTAGAGTTGCTATATCGGCCGCGTTTTGTCCGCAGCGGCAACCTCACCACTCGCATCGTGTGGTCGCTGATAATGGAGGTGATGGTGTTCGTGGTGACCGTCATCCTGGCGATGGTGGACAGCAGCGAATGGGCGGTGACTTTCTTCTGGATCACACTAGTCAGCGTTTTCGTGCTCAACGGTGAGAATCAACTGTGGAATCCTTACTTACTTACCTACTATATCATAAAGGCGAGGGTCCTATGTCGCTCGAATATTTACGTTCGCTACATTTTTAATTTGATAATGTTCCCTATAAAAGATCCCACTTCCCAACGCTTTGACATCACATAGTTGTCTTTGTCACATACAAAACAGTGGGTATATTAATAACGCTTCACTAAAACACACGCATGCTTCCTTATAAGCTTGTGTGCACCTAAGTGTTGCCACATTCATTTATAGGGTCCTATGTCGCTCAAATATTAATATTATTATTTAATAATTTCATTTTCATTTCATTCATAACAATTACATGTTGTCGTCGGATTTAAGTAGTGCGTACATGACAACGTCCGCCCGGTTCGCTAGTAGTTTACATGAATGGAAGATTTTCTATTAATCATTAATTGCCTTCAGGGCAGGATTTAAAGGTCTCGAGGCCTCGGGGCAACGAAGGAGTGGAGGATTTTCCATTGATTTCTGTTAATATTCAATGTAATCATGTTTTTACAAATTACTGTAGGTAAAGGTAAAACGCGCAAAAAATATGAAAGTAAGTTGTTTACTAGCGTTTACTAGCGTTTACTAGTTCGAATTTTATTTTTTTCCAAAGTCTCTGTTGTGAGGGCACCCCTTTTGTGGAGGCCCGGGGCTGTACGTTTACTAGTCGGAATTTGGTATTTTTTCCAAAATCTCTATTGTGGGACCCGCCTTTTTGTGAAAGCCCCGGTTGCCCTCCCCTAAATCCGGCCCTGATTGCCCTTTACAAAAATCCGGATACGGCCATAGTTTCGTGTTAAAAGTCACGCCACGCGCCCCGTTCCGCAGCGTTCAACGCGGTGTTCCATAGCTAACGTTTAAATCACCGCCCGTTCCGCAGCGTTCAACGCGGTGTTCCAGAACTCGGTGTACGGCGTCGCGGCCCGCCTTCCCGCCCGCTACACCGGCGCCGTGGTGCTCGGCTCCAACGTGTGCGGCACGCTCGTCGCGCTGCTCAACTGGCTCTCGGACACCTTCACATCGAGCTACCGCACATCGGCGATATACTACTTCATAGCGGGCATGTTCGTGCTGCTCATATGCTTCGACACGTACTTCGCGCTGCCGCTGAACGTGAGTCGGGTTTTTTTTTTTTTTTTTTTTTTTTTTTTTTTTTTTTATAAATAAAGATGTTTTCCCGCGCCGCCGAACACGTGATAGGTCAGCACTTAAAATTAACAATTTCGTCGGTGCCGGCACCGGGGATCGAACTCAGACTGCTCGAGTATATTGAATTAAAGGCGAGCGCCCGGACAATGAGACAAATATATTTATTTAAAGGAAATTAACATAAGTATAAGAAAATTTAAGTAAGTATTTTATAAGTAAACAGATGGAAGTCATTACATACCCAATGACTTAACTGCGTTTACTGAGTTTACACTTGTTTGTTTACATAACATACTTTATCGCCCGTTCGATATGGATCCTAAAAAAAATTAAATAAATTTAAAATAAATCATCGTGACCAATAAATCTACGTCTTTTTTATATTTTTGTATAATTGATGATCTGATCATACATATTTTCTTTGATAAGACAGTATTAAACTTTTCTCGAAAAGTATTTTTCAAGATTGATTAGTGGAATTGTAAGTACAAATTATATTTTAGAATATACGTTTAATTCATGAACAAAAAATTTTTTTGATAAAAAACTATCTGATTATATGATGGCTCTGAAACACGCTATTGAAGTTTTTGAACATGGTCGTATATATACAGTACAAGAAGCTCTAATAGCAGACCTTGATATTCTGTTTATATTTATTCTGTATCTATATTATAATCTATATATTAGATAGTTATTTCCCACTTTCCAACGCAGTGACTCATTTTATTATAGGTGACGTCATTCACTATTTCAGTGGGTACATTAAATGCTCTACTAAAACACACGCATGTTTCGTCGATAAACTTGTATGCACCTAAGTTTGGCTACAATTATTTTTTTATTTGTGTATATTTCTTACGTTTTAATCATACATAATATTTAGTTGCATTCTTCTTACATGTTATATTTTCTACAGATTATTTTTTTATGTATTCATGTCACACATTTTAAGTAATTTTCACCGACTGATATGATAGTTAATCGATATAGAAGTAAAGTACAGTCTATGAATACTGCTGATCAAACGCCTTCACTGTACTGTACGCAATTGGCCTATTGGGACTTAGTCTGCCATGCGACTGCATTGCGAATTGGCGGACCACAACTCAATTTCATACTACTGGCTGGAACATACTACTATTCCCTCTAGAAATTCGTCTATTACTACGGAAGGTCTCGATGTTTTGCGTAGCGAAAAAATTCAACACCACAGTGCTGGAATTGAAATGAGACTTTTGAGTTAAGGGGATTTATTCAAAAACAATGTCACACAAATAGCTGACTCGTGTGGGAATCGAACCCCACGACCCACGGCGCCGATGGCACAGCGCCACGTTCGTATCACTGGTTTACTTATTATTTATAATTTTACTAGCGGACCCAACAGACGCGACTTAAATCCGACAACAACTTATTAAAAAAAAAGAAACGAATTGTGAATCTAAACCATTCTCGAATCGCATCCAACCTGAAGACACAAAAAATTTCATTAAAATCCGTCCAGCCATTAAAGAGGAGTTGATTGACACGTACAGAAGAATTATATGTATACACTAGTTGACCCGGCAAACGTTGCCGTATAAATTATTTCTAAGGAATTTGTAGGGTAGAAAAAAACATTTGGGTTGGACCACCCTTAACATTTAGGGGGATGAAAAATAGATGTCGTCCGATTTTCCACTCTGGCCAATATGCACACAAAATTTCACGAAAATCGGTCGAGCCGTTTCCGAGGAGTTCAATTACAAACACCGTGACACGAGAATTTTATATATTAGACTAGCTGTTTTGCGAAAACGCAAACGTTGTTTTGCTATATAAATTATTTGTAGGGTAGAAAAAACACCGTGACACGAGAATTTTATATATTAGATATAAAGATATTCTATATTATTAAATTTTTCTTCCATACAGCGTTTCTACCGCTACCACGAGACGCTGCAGGAGAGGACGATGCGCGTTAACCCAGCGCTGGCTGCGACCAATCAGAACGCGAGCCCGGCGAAGCAGCGGACGCCGTACGGCCTCATCTTCAGGCAGTCCTGGGTTCAACTCTACAACATATTCATCGTTTTCTTCGTGACCCTCGCCATTTTCCCCGAGGTCCATTCCAGTGAGTGAAGCTCTCAATTTTCAAAAGGTTGTCGACGCATATGCAACCCTCGGGTCTAGCATATGTCCATGGGCGCCCATATTCACTTTACATCAGGTGAACCGTCTGCTCGCTTGGCAACTATTCACATAAAAAAAAAATTAGACATTTATTTATTTCATTTTAAAGTCGGATTCCAGAAGATTGAGCCCAATTTTCAAAAGGTTGTCAACGCATCTGCAACCCTCGGGTGTAGCATATGTCCTTGGGCCGAGGTATTCACTTAACATCACGTGAACCGTCTCCTAGCTTGACAACTTTTCACATAAAAATAAGATTAAATGCAATATGCATAAGAGGTTAGTCATTCGATGTAATAATTTTTTATAATAATTTTTTATAACAACTTTTGCTCTGATGGTTGTAGGTTTTGTTGATCTTTATAAATGAAAAAGAGTTTAAAAACAAGTATAATTTTTAACAAACCTTTTTTAAAAACCCTTTAAAAAAACCATAAAAAAATTATAACATTCAATGATGGCCCTCGATTTCTATGTGATGCCATCGCCAGCTCCGGGTTTCCTTATCATGGTACCACCCTTGGAATATCTTCTTTCCGACAAAAAAAGAATCATCAAAATCGGCTCATAAACGACGAAGTTATCGGCGAACACAAATAAAAAAATATATATACGGTCGAATTGAGAAACCTCCTCCTTTTTTGAAGTCGGATAATAAATGTCATTCTGTCAAAAAAATTCACAAGAATTTGTTCATTGTAATCTTTTTGTATAGAGGGGAAGATTTTATTACGATAATTAGATTTGGATTTTACTATCATAACATTTTTAATTCATTTATTACTCAAACATTAACAATTTTATATTTCGAAGTGATTAATGTCTTGTTTTAACTATTATAAGTATTAAATTTTGTATTGTGAGGATAATGAAAATTAGTAAGTAGTAGTCAAACCGTTTTTATATAATTGATTGCCTTAGTTAAATCAAATCTTTATTTCCCACCACAACATATAAGTTTTGCAACAGCGTCTATCTTGAATTAACTACTTTTGGTTAGACAAGTTGACAATTAATAATTCTGATTACAAAAATAATTATGATATTATTGTGATATGCATTACAAAATATTGTAATTTACACACTTTTGTAATATTTAATCTTACCATATTGCTGTATTATATGTATAGTTTGGTTATTGGCGAAATCACTAATATATTATCATGGGACATGTTTGTTGTTGCAATTGCAGCATTTGTATAAATTTATGAATTATAAATATTAAATCTTATTCCCTTATTTCTTTACAGACATTGAACCGACGACAAAAAATTTCCTTGGTAATAATTTCACAAGGCTGACCTGTTTTCTCACTTTCAATCTGACTGCAATGCTTGGAAATCTCACCGCCAGCTTTTGGCAATTTGTGAGTATAAGACTATCATAAATTAATTGTTAATTTAAGTTTTTTTATAGTGCTAATCTCAGCACTTAAGATTAAACATTAAAATTTGTACAAAAATTTTCGCAGCTGTGAGATTCGAACCCACGTCTCCAGGCCGCGAATGACGAAGACGTGGGTTCGAATCCCACAGCGATGACAATCTTTTCGTACTTTTTTAACAAATATTTACGTTTAATTCTTAATGTAATAAAAATCAAAATTAAATATTTAAATTTTCACCGTCGCCGTGGCTTTTAAAGTAAAGTAAACCAAAAACGATTATGTATGTATAAGACATACATATTCGTTTTTGGTTTTCTTTCTTTATCCTTGAAAATTTGTCAAGTGATTTTCACTGCATATAAGATATGATAACTACATACTTATACATATATTATTCACTTCCTAATTATATGATCTATAAAGTTTAAGTTCTTGGCCAAAGCAACAATACTGTCAATATAATGGATATAATGTATAGATATGTTACATGCAGACACATCGATGTTACATCAATAATGTAGCTTTCACGAAAATTTACCACACATGACATTTCTATAACTTTGAAGTATAAACTACAGTGTTTTCTTTTACATATTCTAGCCCAGTCCCAGGTGGCTCGCAATCTTCACATCAATTCGGCTCGCATTTATCCCGCTGTTCCTGTTGTGCAACTATATACCTAAGGAGAGGACCCTCCCTGTTTTGGTGGGGAACGACTGGCTCTACTGGCTGCTGGCAGTCATTCTTGGCTGGAGTTCAGGCCACGGCAGCTCCCTTGGTATGATGTATGTTAGCGGGTGAGTGCATTATCCTTACTAGTCTTTACCAATATTATAAACGCGAAAGTTTATATGTATGTATGGATGGATGTTTGTTACTCTTTCACGAAAATACTACTGAATGGATTTTAATGAAACTTTACAATAATATAGCTTATACATCAGAATAAGACATAGGCTATAATTTATATACATATGTTATGTATAACTGTCCTTCTGTCTGAATGTTTCGCCTTCAACCTATTCTACGCAGACTTAGTCGCGGGCAGCAACTAGTTAACCATATAAAGAAATAAATTACAAATTGCCATACATAAGTTAGTATTTGCTATGCAAATAACCTTGTAAACAATTTGATGGAGTTTGTTCATTGCAATCATCATCATCATCATCATTTCAGCCTGTTTGAGTCCACTGCTGAACATAGGCCTGCCCCATAGACTGCAAACTGTTGGGGAAGAAAGGTTCTCAAGTGGCAGCCTCGTACTGGCCAGTGGCCATCATCGCAGTGTAGGGCGTCCCCCCACTAGATGGAGTGGCGACCTGTCCAAAGTCGATGGATGCAGGTGGCTCAGGATCGTACTTCGTAGCAGTCTATGGAGGAATCCTATGTTCATTGCAATGAAGATAAAAATTTTCATAGGTAGTTGATTTTTAGAAACACTTGTAGATCACTATTATATAAATTTTGAAAGTAATCAATCAAGTGAGATGAATTGGTTCATATGAAAACAAATTATAAGAAATATATCATTATAACCCCACTACAACTCCGTAACGTGACTCTAACATAGTCACGTTGCTATAAAAAAGTGGGTATATCAAGGTTTCACTAAAACACATGCAAATTTCTTATGTAAACTTGTGTGCACCTAAGTCTCGCTACATTTCATGCTGACACAAAATGTTGTATAATTTTTAAACAGGATCTTTGCCTGTTTATACATAAAATATTTTGAATTGAAAAAGTACACAGGTGGAGGTGTGAAGTTGTTGCGTTATTTGTATTTTGTGTGGAAGGGGTTGGGTAGTTCCTCTCAACCACCACCTAGAAACATCTATTGTAGTCTTCGCTTCAATTACATTTCAACTTACTATAGGATAACATTATTCTGTGTTGTAAGAATTTTTTACATACATAACATTACATGTAGACAAACATCCAGATCAGAAACAATTATGTCACACAAATAGTTGCCACGTGTGTGAAACCTAAGACACCCGGCGCCGAAGCCAATACCTTTGCAACTGCTCCAGTGTCATCAAATTTTCATTTTTAATATGTGCTTCATGTTGTGATATTGCGATTTGTCAGTACTGTTGCTCCGGAGAATGCATCCGTTGCCGGAATGATTGGTGGGGCGATGCTCGTCACGGGAATAGTGGCGGGCATTACGTTCTCCAGCATCTGCAGAGACCTCGTGTCTCTAGACATTTGGCGGTCTCTCTAGCGGATGCTTTCTTATGCCGGAACGTTCTGGAACTTCCTAGCCAGAAGTGTCGAACAGTGATCCGTGCTATAAAGTGACGCGACGACAGTGAAGTGTGCAGTGCTATTGTGACTACATCAGGATCGCAGTGTATAAATGACGAAATATCGCTTTGTTTATGGAGTGCCGAATGTTAGGCTGGTCGGTAGATATTTGCCAACGCATAATTCAAATTATCGGGTATTTAACAGTGCATTTGATACATTTAGACCAGTACTAATATTATATTACAATAAATAAACTAAGTCAAAAATACCTTAAAAATATAAACAGAATTAAAATAACTTCAATATCCCCTCCTGTCTCTTAGACTGGTATTTGATTTATTCAATTTAAAGAAGTTTGTTATTAAATATAAATTAAGATGGAATTGATTGTATAACATTATTTAAATACTAATATAAGTGTATTAATTTAACATTATTATTACGTATCTATATCAGATGTTAAGAAAAAAAGGATCTAAGGAAAAACACAAAGGAATATTCAAATATTAATTGTTGTTGTTGTAAAGTTTTTCAAAAACAAAATCATAATATTTATACACATTTTTCTTTCCTACACCTTACAATCAAATGGGACAGTTAAAATGTTGTTAAATAATATATGTCAAAAGTGTGAATTTCAAGCAACATATAAGACATTTTTAAATTTATATAAAATGTTCAAGTTTGAAAATGCTTAGATATATAATAGCTATTGAAATACCGTTGCATATATATGTATGTAATATAAAGAGGTTTTGTCTATCCGTTGCAATAAAAATTTGGTATGAACCATTTATAAATTTTGTTAAGATTTTCATGTTAAATGAATAACAATTGTTAAGGGATTTTTAATTGTTGGTAATAAAAATTGCCCATTAATATATGTGCCTAGTGACTAAGAAATTTATAGGATATTCGTAATAATATAAAATGCTGTTACATTATAATGGTACTCTGACAAAGTATGTTTTAAAGAAATTGCAATACAATTGCTGAAGAGACGCACAGCCTCAATGTTATTAACTTGACTATGGTTTGTATGTTTTGTTTTGTCTTTGCTTTAATTACCTTTTATTGTACTTTAATTTTTGAATGAATGACGATTCAACTTTTGCTGGAATGATATGCAATAAATAAAGATTTGATCCAGTTGATTGATAATGCAATCCTTGCGCCGAAACACTGAAAATTTAGAAACGTTGAGTAATATTCTTTTCGCTGTTAAAATATAAATTTTTGAAACTGGAAGGATCGAGCGCAATATATTTATTGTGCTAACTGAAGGTACAGAGTACATACAATATTAACCACCAAAGATTTGTGAGGCTTTCAATAGTTATAATTGTGGCCTTTAGACATAGATGCTTTTTACTTTGTTGATATAAAACTTGACTAATATTAAATATATTAAATACTTATACGAGTTATTGTGTTATTTAACATAATATTTTGATGAGCTAAAACAAATTTGATAGAGTAAAAATTGAGTCGTCATTTAGCACACCAACTGAATGTTTAGCTATTATGTTTGTCAGACTGATATACTAATATGTTGCAAAAGGTTGTAAGAAAACGGGCACTAAAAACAAACAGTTATTTAATAAGAATATATCAAGATGTGTCCGCATTGCTATCAAACAATAACAAATTATGTGTTCAATCAAAAAGATTGACCTTAATTATCTTCTCTATCACTAATATTTCATGTAAATAATACAATGTAATAAAATCTAATTTGATTACTTTTTTAATTGGGGACTATCTGTGTATTAATGAAATTTGCAATTTTAATCATGTGACAATATCACATAACCTTTGCCAACATTTACCTCAGTTTGAGTTTAGAAGTGAATGTTCAGTAGAAAACCAAAGCTAAATCTGTTTAATTGTGCTGTTAAATTATAGTGTGCATTTTCTTTTTTCTTTTTCTTTGAGTAGTTCATTTAGTGTTCATTTATTTAATAGTAAAAGATTTTTTTTATTTACATGTCATTTTATTTTCTTCCTTTTTTCTTTTAAATGTCGTATTTCCGAAAATGTAAGCAATTTACAGGCTACTTACAGTTCAACGTTCAGCAATATTAATTATAAATGTTTGCGTGTAGTTATAATAATAAAATATAATATTCAAAACTCAACTTTTGCGAGTGCATAAAAATAGTTAATTATAATAAACGAGTTGCTACGACGAAAGTATGTTAACGTTAAGTTTGTTAATTTTTATTTAGAACGGAATTGAATTCATTTAGGCCGTCCGAATTAGTGATAGCAAATTTTGTCTATGAACAAAATAGTCGGTTTGGTAAAAATTTTACATCTTCAGGCATCTATCACTAAAACTAACTTCTTTTGTGAACATATTTCTTATTTGATATCAATAATTGCATTGACCTGTTTGGATACGATGAAATTGGTTGCCAAGTTCCTATGTAAATGTGTTTGGTAGCGGTTGTCTAAAATCGATTGGATGTTGAACATGCTATGAATTTTTTGTTGTATATATATCCTTCAGAAACCAACTTTTGTCGTAGCAATATTGTAGAAGTAAATTTACAAATAGTATTTAGATTAGTCTTATATGCCACATCACTGGTTAAATTTTTACCCCGGTGCCTTAAACAACTTCCATTATTGTATCTAAATCAGGGATGGCCAACATTTTTCTACATAACATCTAATTTTTATCACAAGAATGTGGCACACAATAAACTTTTGCCATGTAGTGAAAGGAAAGTGTGAAATATACGACATGGCTTTACTACCGCGACATTAAATTAACACAAACACAATTCTATCATTACTAGCCAACAATACATACTCTGTTTGGATTCTAACTGGTCTATTAATCGTGTAATAATTGGTTCTTCTGTCAAATAATCACTTATAATAATAGATACAATTGCTTGAAGATCGACCGACTTGTCCACACCCGATCTATAACATTCTGACGTAAATAATACACAAGCAAAGTTTAGTGTATAATTGATTAGCGACGTTGATCTATGTTAATAGTTAGATGATAAGAATTATAAAATTAAAATCATTTAGATGATAGGTTTCAAAGCGTAATGACTTGAAGTTGTTATGTATAGGCGGTGCCAAAATAACTCGGTGAGAACTGTTTGACCACCAGTTTTTCTTCACTATTTACCGCATGTTTGAAGAAATACCACTTGGCTTTGAAAAATAGTATTGATGACAAAAAATATAAATTCAGTGCTTCCTTAAAGTATAAAGTCGATTTTATATATTTAGGTATACCGCTCTCATTATGATGACCTATAGTAAAAATAACTAAATACCATGAACCTTCAAATAAGAATACTTAAACTTGGCCATGTTTGTTAGTTATTCAATTAAAATCTTGCTACGAATTTAAAGGGTTAATGGTATTTCATGTCTCCAAAAATTGTTCAGCCACTAAGAACATAAACAAGTAATATATGTACGTTCTATTAGTTATGTTGCTTTTTCATTATGGTTATGTTTAATTTTCTAAATTACAATAAAAATTTGGTGTTCTCATGATAGTGTCACTAATTAGCGGGAATAGTGTAGTAAACCATTTGTAATCGAAGACAATAACGCTAATATTGAAAGAAAAATGCGTCTGTTGAAAGATATGAATCGCCACGTAATGGACATGTACATTAATACGATTACTGCGTATAGAATTAAGACATTATCTAATGTCTTATAAAAAAAATCGTGTAAATAATAATTCACTACAAATAATAATACTACATTGTAGTAATTTGCACTAAACGCTGTATTTTCTCTTCCACTTAGACTCCACACTTCCGTAATTAGACGCAAGATTCAATAGATAAATCGTGCTGAAAAACTGCTGATATTATAAATTGAGGTTCACTCAAATTATTTACACGAAATATATAATCTAAGGAGACATATTAAATAATGTGTAATAGTCTTAGTATGGGTCTCTTCATTATGCTTTTGATCATGACACCCAGTCCTGTTAATTTATTTTGCGATGGGTACACCATTTTATGGTAGTAGTAGTAATTACAGGGAATTGAATCCTCTCATTGCTTTTCTTATACCTGACAATCCAAATGTATGTATTTTTCTTGTATTAAGAAAAGATTGTGACCATTATGAACTAACTAGCTGCCACCCGCGACTACGTCTGCGTAGAATACAGATTGAAGGCGTAACATTCAGAAAGAAAGACAGATATATATAAAATATGTAAATAAATTATAGCCTATGTCTTATTCTGATATATAAGCTATATTATTGTTAAGTTTGCATTAAAATCCATGCAGTAGTATTTGCGTGAAAGAGTAACAAACATTCATCCATACATACAAACTGTCGCCTTTATAATATTAGTAAGGATGTTAAATTCAAGTTATTTGCTTTTTATAATATCTAATGCGGTCATTTACCCTGCTACTTTCTTTTGTACTTATAATTTTATCAAGACTTTAAATTTGTATGTTTTGGCTACAGGGTTAGTAGACCGGAATCGAACACTAAAATTAATAAATTATCGAAAATTGGTAGCTCCGATTCTATAAGTTTTCACAGAAATAAGTCATAGGTAGTTGAATTATTTTTTCGAGCCGCGATTTTGAGTCGAGCCGTCTACTGCAGATGTGACGGGCAAGAAGAGGACTTTTTACATAAAACTAAACAAAGTAGTTCCAAAAGTTTATCGAAATTTGGCTGATGTGTTTATTGAATCGTGCTCTGTTCTATATACATATATTATTAACACTAATCTCCACTCATAATCGACATTTTAATATTAACATAGTATATACCATATACTAGTTGTTTCTTAGATGACAATGTATTCATATAAAATGCACTCCTTTAGAGTCGAGGGCTGTGAAATAATAGCTTTAACCTTTCCACTTTTGTCATTATTCTCCTTATTCCATTAAACTATTTATTCAAATGTCAAGCGCTGGATAAATTATTAGTTTGCAAATATAAAATTTC